TAGAATGGAGCCCATATCACAGAAAATGCTCAGTTAAAATGGTGAAATAAACATCAAAATGTCACAAAACTCTAACTCCCTTAAATGATAATTTTTGATAAGAACAGGTATAAAGTTTTCAGGTTCACAGTGTTGTATAATTTCAAAAATGTTTAATTGGAAAATTAAAATAAATTGGCTTAGATCTGAGTACTTTCAAGCCTACTGAAATTTGACTAGCAAATCAAAAGCAGTAGCAACATAGCTAGGCTTGGTAGCTTGCCAAGGAGATGTGCATAAGCATATGGAACATTATTAGATACCAGGAAGAGGACAAACAGGTATATAATACACTTGCGGACTTGTAAGTAAAACCTTAGAAAAATAAAGCTTCTGTAAACAGTTATCTACCAGTATCCTCAAAACAGCACCCAGTAGCTAGGAACTGTCTATGTACTATCTTTCTTTGTGCAACAAGATGCTGTTGCTATGAATGTTGCCAGACGTGTGACCCATTGTTCTGCCCAAACCATGTAAATAAGACCATCCTTGCTGGTGCAACTGCTGAATGCATAGAAGTTGCTGGGGTGGCCAGACAATCCTTTGTTCTGCTCTGCTGTTTACAGCTGTGCTTTAGTATATGCCACAATGGCTCAAAGTGACCTGAATTTGACCCCATGGTCAGCATTTCCTCAATGAATTGTTCCATTGTGGCTCTGTGATATCTGTCTTCACCTCAGTGATTTGGATTTGCATTATCAGTATACTTACGAGGCTATTTGGCCAATGTTCGGGTACAATGACACTCAGGGAGCCTCAATCTTTTCTTGGGCAGAATTTACTGAATCAAAACTGCTCCTACATTTTACTGCATAATGGTTTGACATTGGTAGTTCAGAACAAATACACTCAATGCCTACCATGTGTTAGGTGCTATTAAAGCTGCTGGTAAGTTTTCTTCTCAATCAGTAACTATATGTAATGAAGTAAAAACCCTTGAAGGAAAATATCCCATGGCTGACATGTGATTAGCTGACTAGTAGCTGAGGCAGATTTGACTTCAAACAGGAAACTGTTAGTTTGGTTACTGGTAGTTCAGAACAAATACACTCAATGCCTACCATGTGTTAGGTGCTATTAAAGCTGCTGGTAAATTTTCTTCTCAATCAGTAACTATATGTAATGAAGTAAAAACCCTTGAAGGAAAATATCCCATGGCTGACGTGTGATTAGCTGACTAGTAGCTGAGGCAGATTTGACTTCAAACAGGAAACTGTTAGTTTGGTAGGATGAAGGTGACACCCATAAAGAAAAACAAGGGGAAAAGGCCACCCCGCAGTGTGGAGAAAGGAGGACACTACATTCCAGGGCACCCGGCACAAAGGTTGCTGTTCCTGAGTTCTTGTGGTGTTGACAAGATAACAATGGAATCAAATTAATTTTATATATAATTTTGTTCAGTGTTGAGGTTCACAGTGATCATTCACTCTAAAGAGCACACCCTAAAAAAGTGAGTTTAGAAAATGTCAATCTCCAAGGAAGGTGCAGCAACTTAAATTAGCAATAAAAGGATCAAAGAGGTTTACCTTGACTCTGTTTTTCTTCAACACGTTGAAAATCCTGATGTGCTGGTATGCGTTGGCTAGACCTTGCTCCCAGTCAGCCAGGAGGGTTCCTGAACATTTATAGTTAAACAATTTGTATCAGGAGATAAACACAAAAGCAAAACCTTCCAGTGACTAGTATGGATTATTTCAACGAAATCTTTAATATGTTTTATTTTCTTTCCACTTATATATTTTTTTCCTAGAAGAAGGATAATTTAATATAGATTAATTAAAAATTTGGGTCAATCAAAGTTCTGGTATAGTTGTAGAGAAGACTGGAAAAGGGACAAATAGTAACCGAGGAAGAAAAATGCTGCTGACACATTAGCTGTAGCACAATTCAAGTTTATTCCATTTGTTCTTGCAACACAAAACTTAAACACAGTATTATTTAGCATTCTGATGTACATGAACTAGGATACTTATAAGAAACTCAATTGTGTCAAAAGTATATAACATTGTGGAAAAATGAACTCACATATATCAAAATGCACAAAGCACTAGTCTTCCTCCATTACTGCTTAGAAAGATATGATTGTTTCTCCATTTACAAAATAGAATCAGGACAATTTAAATTTTTAAAATTTTGCATGCAAAACACTGCAATTGCTTATTTATGTAGGAGGGCACTCTCACCAGCTTCTTCTATACACAATTGAGTATATGATATTGCAGGGAAGAAAACAGCAGCTCAGTTGAAGTTTAAAAAAAAAAATAGGTACATATAGATTTAAAATCCGTTACATTGGGAAAGAAATCAATGAACAAAGGGCCTACTTGTTTGCAGCTTCCACACACTGCACCTAACTACCTACCTACTTACCTTCCCTCTGTGCCAACGGGGTTTAGAAAGGTGAGCTATGCATAGTAGAACTACTTGGGATACTCAGGTGCTGTATTTAAACTATAAGTCTATAGATACCAGTCTGAAAGCTGCAAGGAAGAATTTGTTAGTACACTACTGTAAACAGGTAAACCACCTGTATGTTACTTGACATAGTGCATACGAAATGACTGACTTAATACAAAACTACAGAACATGCAATAGTTTTTCTGAGATGTTAAATATTACTTCAGTGGAGAACAAAACTTACTTAACCTTTTGCTAATGCATGTAGTACCAAAAAGCAGACATAGTTTTAGTTTCATTTACTCCAAATATGAACATTTAAGTGTGAATTTCTCTGCCAAGTGGTTCAGAAATACATTATAAATAACCTAGTTAAAAAAAGAAATTGCAAACCATCTTGGTCAGTCTATTCTATTCTATGTTTATATGTTATTTTCTCAAGCAATCGCTTCATAATTATGGGGTTTACAAAACGGCTGAGGAAGGAGGAGGAAGGCGAAATAGCCTCTACTGCATTACAAGGAATATCAGGATAAACCATACAAAGAATCACATGGTTTCTATACCATCATAACTGTAGAAAGAAGATCTGGTTTAGAAATAATAGGACAATGCACTCTCTGCAACAGCCAACTACAACAAAACACTCTGGAAAGTAAAGGTGAACATTGTGTAATGCATAAAATTCAAGCCTTTTAAATAGCATTATGCCAAGAGGTAAGAACAAAGAAATCAAAACGCCCTTTCGCACTACATTGATAGTTATACACTGATAGAGTGCCCTCCATTTTCAATGACGATGTCTCAATATTATAGTTCAGTGATGTAATAAAGTACTGTCACTGATTTTTTTAATCCAACTCTAACAGGTTGCATTAAGACAGCAGAATTAGCCAAATATATCAAAGCATTTAGACCTCCACTTTGTGATTGTTTTCTTGGATGTAGGAAAATTACAGGGTTAGGCTAGTTGTAAGTGAAAAAGCCACAGGATAAAAAAAGGGTTCATGGGCGAAAAATACACACGCGCACACACAAATCCAAATGCCAACCAATCAGCAATTGGTCAATAAAACTGACGAGCCAGGCTGACTGTTCTTGATAATAGTTTAACCCTGTTGTAGAATGTTCCATTGCCTTAAAAGATCAGCGCACACACAAATCCAAATGCCAACCAATCAGCAATTGGTCAATAAAACTGACGAGCCAAGCTGACTGTTCTTGATAATAGTTTAACCCTGTTGTAGAATGTTCCATTGCCTTAAAAGATCATCATTAATTCTTTACTACCCACAATCTGACTACAAGTCCCTAACTCACCCTCCCCCCTCTAAAAATTTGAGGTACATTCAATTATTGCATGACTTGGCTAAGGAAAAACCCTAATACTTTTAGTAAGCTTACATGGACAGCAAGTCAAAGGAATCTTAATATTTTAAATGCAGGATATCAAATTTACGGTTATATGTTTTAATTAGTTGTGCTGCTCACGAAATAAACATTTGGAGATGGGTCTAAATATTTTCTGTAGGTCAGAAGAACACCACTTTAGAACACTGTATTCTAAGAACACAGAATATATTTTGAAGTTGTCACACTTTATGCAATGCATGATTCATAAAACAAAAAAAATATTATGCAGGTGGATTGGCATATGTTCAGCAGAAGGTTATCAACAACCCGGGGAACCCTGGTAACTAGCGTATTTTTGAAGGGATGGGGCTAAATTTGTCCAAATAGTAAATCTCACCCCAGTGATAGCTTTGGTGCAATAAGCAATCAGCATCCAAGATGCATCTCAGAGAGGCATTCCAAAGAATGTTCCTAGATTCTGCAAACACAACGCAGGTCAATCCACTCAAATAGCAAATGAAGAAAATCCATAGGTGATAAGACAGCTGTTCTCTCTTTATATGACACTACACGCTATGGCTAAGATTCTACTTTTAAATCCCCTTTTACTACCAGGAGGAGTTTGAAAGTGTTTCAATGTTATACAAATGTCTGAATCTGGAAGAGAAAAAAAATGCACATGGCTAAGATTCTACTTTTAAATCCCCTTTTACTACCAGCAGGAGTTTGAAAGTGTTTCAATGTTATACAAATGTCTGAATCTGGAAGAGAAAAAAAATGCATACTGGAATGATTTCTCTTTTAGACTTCCAAAATTTAAGATTTTATAAATAAAACTAGTCAGTTTTATCTAAAGAGACATGAAATCTGTGTGAAAAGGGGAGAGGAAATCCAAAGTTCAGTCATCCAGCAATTTAGGAGTGTGCCCCTCATCACATTAACTAAGCTTTTACATAAAGCTTAAAGTCACTGAGCAAAAATTTGGTCACCAACCACAGGCAGCGCTCTTCCCTATGCCAGGAAATCCCCAGGAGAGTGCATTCTTAAGGCAGAAGGCTGTAGCTAATTGCTTATCTCAGCACCCTAAGTTTACATCGCAGCAGCCACTACTGCTCACACAGTCAGGGCTACCAAATATGTAGAGGTGGCCTTTGTAGAAATCAGACCTTCTACACGATCTAATTAATAAATTAGCTAGGGAGCTGAAAAGGTCAAATGTTACCAGTATATTTTGTCTTTGCTCTCCCTTGGGTATAAGCTGTATACTTTATTAGAAATGGAAAAGAGGCTGACTTGATCAGGAATCCCAGTAAAAAGCCTGATCATGGTTTTTTTCCCCCCCTCCTCCAAAACATTGTTTTTTTTCTGGTAGTCTGATTTGTTATGAATTTCTCTCTCCCCTCACCCCTCTTAAAGTATTTAGCTGAAGAAGCTGGCAGATAGAGAGTGACAGACAGACAGGCAGCAGTGTGAGGCCACAGGAGAGTCATTCTTCCCAAGTTATCAGTCCATCCATCCATCACTGTAGAAGAGCTTTGATTGCCTGGTTGTCAGTGGCTTCCAAGGCAGTCAGTCCATCTGGACCTTTCACAGTCTTATCAGCACCCTGGAAAAGAGAGAAGAAGACCTTTATCATTACATGAGCCCACAGCTGGGGGAAGAAAACGTAAGACTAGATTGAGTAGTGTGGGCTAATGTTTACATCGAGAATTAAAAATTCTTTTACTAACAGAGTCCATTCTATTACAGAAAAAACAAAACAAAAAACAAACAAACAAAAAACCACCCCCCAAAAAACCAAAAAAAAAACAAAACCCACCAAAAAAGCAAGTTGTGAAGGTTGTGGATTAACTTGTAAAAACAAAAAACCACCCCCAAAAAAACCAAAAAAAAAAAAAACAAAACCCACCAAAAAAGCAAGTTGTGAAGGTTGTGGATTAACTTGTAAAAATGCAACATTATTTTTCAAGTAGTAGAAATCGTAAGCTACAAACACAACCTGACATTAATATAGGCAATGACTGGTTTTTATTTTACTATTGTATATTTCACCCAATTAATTAAGCTTTAAAAAATAATATCCCAATGTGAAGTATGAAACAAGGGAAAAAAGTAAATCACTTTTGCTAAAAAAGAAAGTGTTCCTGTGATAAATTATTTGTTTTTCTTCTTTGCAACACTTTTTTTTGTAGAGTGCATAGGTATTGCACACATTAAGAACATGCATAATGTATGTCATTTTACTTATAAAAACTTAGCAGTAAATGACTGGAATGTGAGCTGTAAGGAGGTTCCCTTCTAATTCTAGGGAAATCTTCAGTGGAGACACCAGACTGCTCTGAAGACTTAACCTGGAGAGTGCTGTCCTGGAACATTTTATCTACAACATGGCATTTCAGTTTTGAGAATGTGTATATATAATTTTGAGTCTATATGTTGTCTTATCTGTCGCCTTTTCTAGACTGAAAGCTCCATGGGAGTGGGAATCTTGTCTGTATTATTCACCACTGTATCCCCAGCACTTAAAAAATTGCTATTGCTTGGTAGGTGAATTTACTTTCCTACCAGGTCTGAACCTTTTAATTCCCAGAGACAATATTCTACCACCTGAGGGTTCTCTTTACTAGCTCCAGTCCCAGCCAGTGTTTATGTACCACACAGTCTCTAGGGTCCCGCTCCCCTGCCAAATTTCACTCATTCTTCTGTTAGTTCAGACTCTTCTCCCATTAATCTTTCTATGCTCTCATCCTACAGAATTTCTCATCAGTTCCTGAACATGCCATGTGCCGTACCCCTATATAGGCTGTCTCTACATGGGATGCCTTGCTCCTATTTTCTGGCACATTCATTCACTCATTCACTCAACAAATATTTACTGAATGTCTGATGTGTAGATACTGTGTAAGGGACTGGAGAATCAAAAATAAGACAGACTCTGCCAGTCTCACGATTGTGAGACGCAGACAAATTAACCAATACCACAGTGTGACAAGCACATTAACAGTGCTATGTACAGGGACGAATGGCCCGTAAATGAGAATAAGATGTGGTAGGAGGGCGTAAGGGAGAAAGTCTTCCTGGATGAGGGAATGCTTGAGCTGAGTCTTGGTAAGCAAGTACAAGCTGATTAGGTAAATCTGAGAGGAGATGACAGACATTCTAGGAAGTGTCAAATTATCACAAAGTCATCCTTAGTATCATTATAAAGTCTCTATTTTCTCATTTTCTAATTGAACGTAACTGCTTCAAGGAAGACATGGAACTCATAGTCAAATGGAACAGAAACCAATGAGAATTTCAATTCAGCGTGGTGAGCCCTGCAACAAAACAGGGTAAGTGACAATAACTGGGGTCACTGTATTCAAAACAAATGATTTCGTAGTCATCTTGATGGCTACAGTTTTTTATGCCTAGTATTGTAAACTATAATTCTGCAAACAAATTATTATAAATCAAGGGGCCATGTACATTCCTCGCCAAGCGTCAAAGATTTATTTAACTCAAGCAGGATGCTCTCTCCTAGATTTTGAATCCTGATTGGATACAAGAAGATACAAGGAGAGAGGATACAAGAAGTCAGAGCTCATTTATTCCTGTGGCATCACCCAGATGAAACAGCTGAGAGGTTTCTGCTACCCGAACCCCTGCAGTTGCCTTAGCTCTGATCTCTTCTTAGCCTGGTCCTCCAGCTTTCCTGTTGATTCTATGATTAGTCCAATATCTTTTCAAAAATCCCTCTTCTACTTGTTGGAGTCAATTTCTGCTAATACGCAACCAAAAATATTTAGCTGATACTTAAAAAAATTTATATAAATAACCTTTCCCCCCAATTACAATACAAACATCACAGAAAACTCAGAAGAGAAAGAAAAACATAAAACTCATAATTCTATAAGCCAGATATAACTAATGTTAACATTTTAGTGTTTCCTTATACTCTTCTGTTCTAAATATGTATGCATATTTATTTAAAAAATAAATTAGAAACCACAAGAGAGCAAGAGTGACTATATTTTTATCAGACAAAAGAAACTTTAAGATAAAGAAATATTACTAGAGACAAAAAGGGATATTTCATAATAAAAAAGGTCCACTATTCAAAAATGAAGTTAAGAAAACAATTCCATTTATAAGAGCACCAAAAAGAATAAAATACTTAAGAATAAATTTAACAGAGTCAAATCAGTTCTTCTAAAAATGATGTACCAGTTTTGTCAACATGGATAAGAATATTAAGAGAAAACAATTTTTTTGGCACTTAATGCAGTTTAAGTATATTTGGCCCCATCCCTTCCTTGTGGAATCCAGTTTTAATTGTTTGTTTTTACTTCTAGAAATTATTTCCATAGCTACTATTTGAATTATCAACCTTAGATTTTAACTTTTGACTTCCTGCTACATAGATGAGGCTTTAGTTTACCACCACCTCCCCTTGACCCTCTCTATTTCTTATAGTTAAAACACTATTGTGTTTCTTTATAAATCTAAATGTTTACTTAAACCTATATTTCTTGTTCCATCAATTTTGAGAGTATCCCATGTCTCATAATTTTATAAGATACATTCTCCACCTTCCCATCGCTCCCTTCACCTCTTAACTTGCCAGCTTTTCTATTTTGCCAAGGTTAACTTTTATATTTTGGTCTGTAAAAAACTTCTTATTGACTGATTCTAGTCAAAATACATAAACAATGTTTAAATTATTTTTAGGTAAACACTGCTCAATGTGGCACCCGGCTGACTACTATGATTCGTTTTCCTTCTGTTCCAATATCTCAACCCTCTGCAACCCTCACAAATGACAGAATCAGGAGATAACACCCACAGCAGCAGCCTGAATTTTCCCAGTCCTGTTCATTCATTTACAAATAACAAACTTTTGAACCTATTTGCTATGGTTAGAGTAAATAAAGAACCTAAAACCCAAAGAATTAAACTAAGTTTATTTATTTCTCTCTCATAAAACGGTCTAGTGCTAAGTGTACCAAAGTTGGTAGGGTGGCTCTGTCCTGTAAAATCCTTCTGTTTTGCTCCTCTCCCAAGGGATGGGTCATCTCTTCATTTGTGTGGCTGAAGCTGGTTCATCTCTACATCTGTTTCCAACCTGCTAGATTTGGGGGCTTGGCAGGGGGTCACCTAAAATCATCATACTTTAGGTGATGGTTTGGAATTGGCACACACCATTTGTACATATTCCATGTGCTCAAACTTAAGACATACAGTCATATGTACTGCAAGTGAAGCTGAGATACAAGCTAGGCTGCCATGTACATTACTAAAACCTGGGGTTTTCTTTCTAAAAGGAAGAGGAAAAAATAGACATGGCAGACCATTTGTAATCTGACCTATACTGTTCTGAAAATACTTTGGAATAAGTCACTCATATCCTCTAAATGCCAAGTTCAATCAGCCAAATTTATGGTCTCTGAACAGTGCTGAGTCTTATTCCTTACCCATTACAGCCCAAACTCTCTAGACAATATTATCTCCATGTTCTCCTGTCTGTCTAGCCTGCCTCTTCTTCCCGCACCAACTCCCTTCATTCTCTCCTGACCTGCCCCACCCCATCCCCCTTCCTTTTGGCTGTCCTTTATATGCTGGTATTCTCCTTGGTTCTGGTCTGCAGCACTCTTCAGGACTTGCTCAACATGCTTTTCCCTAATCATCTCATCCATGTCCAACCTTTATCCTCATCCTCAGCATCTATCCTGAACGTTAACCCCATGGATATATACTGGCTTTGAGACTTACCTACTTGAAGTCCCACAAATACCTCAAATGCCACCTCTCTTAAAATGAATCCATAATCTTTTCCCTGCAAACTTGCTTTCTTTTAAATATTTTCTATCATGGTGAAGAACCATCTTCCTGGAAATGTGGAGACACTATGTAGTTCTTATTTACTTCCCACATAATCAGTTACTAAGTCTTTAGACCGCACTATTCCCATTCATCGCTACCATTACTTTCCAATGCAATAGGTTCCTATTTTTTTTTTTTTTACTTTTTACACCACTCCAATTCCGACTCCAAACATCTGTTTGAATGATCTTCCTAAAATGTAAGTCTGATCATACTACTTACTTACCTAAAAGCCTTTAATGGCATCCTCAAAAAAGACAAGAAAGGTAAATGACATGATTTACATGATTTGCCTGAAAACATAATCTGCTTAGTACCAACCTCTTGAGTGATATTTCTTGCTAAATTCTTTCCATTCTACATTGTAGCTATGCTGAACAATCTCCCCCTACCCTAATGCAGTGTGGTCTTGTCTCTCTGACTTTTCTCATTTCTCATTGTTGCTTCTGCTTGGAATGGTACCCCCAATCCCTATTAGACTTTTATACACTAAGTTTCCAAGGTTCAGCTCAAGTGTCAGCTGCTTTATGAAGTTACATTTGTGGTACCTGGAGATATAATGACATCCTTACTTATAACACACTATCTCCTTGACTCCCAGACCACACTTGACCTCTTCTTCATGTCCCCACTATAGTACATATTCACAGCAATCACAATGCTTCAATGTACTGGTTGTTCTACATATTTGTCTCCGTAATGACATCCTTACTTATAACACACTATCTCCTTGACTCCCAGACC